AAACACACACACACACACACACACACACACACACACACACTTCCACATACATGCACACATTTCAATCACCAATACGCACACACACACTTTTTCTTGCACATACAAGCACACCTTCTATACAGACACACACACACACACACACACACTCTCCTCCACAAACACACACTGCCAAATACATACACACCTTTCAAATACACACATTTCTACATACATAAACACACACACACCTTTCAAATAGACACACACACATACTTCCACATACATACACAACTTTCAAATAGACACACACACACACTTCCACATACACGCACACCTTTCAATTACAGATATGCACACTTTTTCTCTTCCACATACAAGCACACCTTTCATACAGACACACACACACACACACACACACACACACACACACATCTCCTCAAATACACACACACACACACACTTCCACATACATACACACTTTTCAAATAGACACACACACACACACTTCCACATACACGCACACCTTTCAATTACAGATATGCACACTTTTTCTCTTCCACATACAAGCACACCTTTCATACAGACACACACACACACATGCTTCTGCACAAACACACACACAAACATTTCCAAATACATACACACACTTCTACATACACGCACACCTTTCAATTACAAATACGCACACACTTTCTCTTTCACATGCAAGAACAACTTTCATACAGAAACAAACACACACACACACACACACACACACACACACACTTCCACATACGTACACGGCATTCAAATAGATACACAAACACAACACACTCTCTTCCATATACATGCACACCTTTCAAACTCAGACACACACTCCCACATGCATACACCCCCCCCCACACTCACACACACACATGCATTCTTCCACGAAACACATACACATTCTTGCACACACACACTAAAACAGACACAGTCACTAACACAAATACACGTCTCAAACACACACACAGAGCCACTGTTCACTGTGGTATTTCAGGCCTCATTAAATGGCATTTGTTGACTGTGTGTGTGTGTGTGTGTGTGTTAGTGTGTGTGTGTGTGTGTGTGTGTTAGTGTGTGATTTTAGTATTAAACTCTATTTTACTTCATTTATTTTGAGTTTACTCATTCCTCATATTATTTTCTGCTGTCATTTTTGTTCAATTTAGTACAGACACACACACACACACACACACGCACTGCTGCTGGACATAAAGAAAGTTTAAGCGTGTCTTAGTTTTAGTTAACAGTAATTTACATATGCAAATTTGCTAAGATCTTTTGCAAAAAGCTCTGCCTTCCCCCCCTTAAACGTGATATTATTTCAGTAAAGTGTGCAGTATTTCAGAGTTTGTCAATCTGGCGTTTGTTGACGGGGTGTGTGTGTGTGTGTGTGTTGTTTTGGTGTGGTGGCTCTGTCTCTGGTAGGTGCCTGTAGTATGAGGGTGGGGGGGCGATGAAGGGCCTCATTATCCACTAAACTCAATGGAGTCTTTGTGTATCGGCCTGCAGGCCTAGAAACCCCTTTCCCAGTGTGATCTGATGCCCGTCTGTGTCCTGCTTCTCTAAACTAGTCATCCGCCGGTCAGTTAGTGTGTTCGTGTTAATGAGTGCATCTCTCTTCATATCAGGCTTGATGCATTTAAAATATTGACAGTTTGATATAGAGGGGATACGTCCAAATCAGGGTTGTTTTTGTATTACTTGCATATTATTGTAAGGCTTGAAGCTTGCGCTGCTATTCTGAACCAATAATCAGAAACAGAAAGCAGTTGAAGGATGGCGTGTTTGAATCCATTATTCATCTGACTCCATTGTGATGAATCTGACTCCATTAAAGTTGTTATTATCATTGATAAAGAGAAGCAATCTCAAAGCCTAAAGCAGGCAAAGTTGTTTATTAAGTTACATGTTTAAATATACAGACAGTAGAATAAAACAAACTAGCATACTGGTTAAAGAAATTAGCTGTAACATATGCACTGCTGAGCAACAAAGACAGTGAAACTGCCTTTGTTAGTATATGAGGCTAGATGCAGAGTAAAAGCCGTTCTCCCAGATCAACAGTTATCTTTCCTTATTATACCCTGAGCAAAGTCTCTGTTGAAGTCATAAACTGTCAAATGACACCAAACATGACAAAGTTCTATAAAGCAGGATCACGAGCTGATGAATTGTGTATGGTGTAAAGCACATGGTTACTGTAAGCAAATGGCAGAGATGTGTATCGGAGCTGTGAGAAACTCTGACACTACAGGAGGACCCATCCCATGCTTGGAATGTCTCAACAGTCCTTCATTAGCATAGAAGGAATAGTATATAATATTTCCTCAGCTTACATTATATTAGATTTAATAAATTTGAAAACTATATATATATATATATATATATATATATATATATATATATATATATATATATATATATATATATGTGTAAA